ATATGAACAGGACAGCACTCGGATTTGTTTAACACAACTTTATTTTAAATTAATAAGGTTGTGTTGAACAAGTCTGAGTGCTGTTTTGTTCATATTAAACAATTAATATTCGTTCCACTCATATCATAAAATTCTATATATATGTGTATATATATATATATATATATATATATATATGTACATATATATATATATATGAGTGAGTTCTTGAGGGCGATACATCAAACAAAGAAGAGCCAAAGATTTATAAAATAATCTTTATTTCCAAACGTTTCGACATTCAATTTGATGTCATCATCAGTGGATCTAAAAACAGTATGAATATTGGCATGTCTAGGTAATTATAATATATGTGGATTGGTAAAGTAACTGTGCAATAAGAGAAAAATTAACAAACGGCAACACTTAACAACAGACCAAATGTAAAAGATAGGAAAGGTAGTAGAGACTAGAATTAGGTAAATAATTAGAAAGTATGGGCAGAGATATTTAGGTACACTCATATAAACCTACACACATACACACATATACATATATATATATACATATATATAATATATATATATATATATATATATATATGTGTATATATATATACATGCATATATCCATATACACGCACGTGCAGACATATAATACACATATACATATACAGATATTCTGTATATGTATATGTGTATTATATGTTTGTATGTGTGTGTATATGGATATATGCATGTATATATATCTAATATATATATATATATATATATATATCTATTGTATATATATAATGTGTGTATATATATATATATGTCTATGTGTGTATGTGTGTATGTATTATGTATATATGCGTAGGTTTATATGAGTGTACTTAAATCTTTTTGCTATACCTTTTTTTTTATTTATTTAATTCTAGTCTCTACTACCTTTCCTATCTTTTATTTGATTTGTTGTTAAGTGTTGCTGTTTGTTAATTTTCTCTTACTTGTATAGTTACTTTACCAATCCACATATATTATAATTACCTAGATATGCTAATTTTCATACTGTTTTTAGATCCACTGATGATGACATTAAATTGAATGTCGAAACGTTTGGAAATAAAAATTATTTTATAAATCTTTGGCTTTTCTTTGTTTGATGTATCGCCCTCAAGAACTCACTCATATATATATATATATATATATATATATATATATATATGTTTAATTTGAGTTTAATATTCGGGCATAACATCAATAAAAGTATGAGAGTTTTTTTAAAAATTTATTTATTTCAAATTCATACGTTTCAGCTAGCAACTTAGCCATCATTCAGTGGTAATCAAATTAACTATAAAAATTGAAACTAAATAAATTATATGAAAGGAAATTTCATGGAAAAACAATAATAATAATAATAGTAATAAAACACTTACAATTTTGTATCCTAATATAGCATATGAAACCATTATTAATCCATGGTATGAGTATGTGCACATTGATAAGATATATATTTTTTAACACAAACATCACAAATGGTGAAACACACTAATAACCATGATAACTGGATTTGAAATAAATAAATTTTTAAAAAAACTCTCATACTATTTTTATTGATGTTACGCCCGAATATTAAACTCAAATTAAACATATATATCAACATCAAATTCAAGACTATTCAAATATATATATATATATATATGATATATATAATATTATTATATATATATATATATATATATATATATATATAGATAGATAGATAGATAGATAGATAGATAGATAGATAGATACTTTATTCAAATTCAACATTTACAATTTAAGTCAATACAATTATACTATAATATAACTAAATTAATATCAGTTATGTTTATGAACAACTCTAAGATTAACCTAATGACCACTTAATATTTATCTTGTATTAAAAATTCAATTGAATAGATAGGTTGATCTGTAAGATGTTTTTTTTAAACGGCAGCATTGAACCTTCATCCTGCTTTGACTCTTCCACTCATTGGGAGAGCTGTTGTAGATCTCGACACCCAGCTTGTTCCTTTGCGAGGATTTCAGCTTCAGTTTTGGAGGTACAACAGCACACCTGTTCCGCGTGTTGTGGCCATGGACGTCACTCCTCAGTACATGATTTGTTCTGTCTGCATGGACCGCAATCGCCTGCTGGTAGATGTAGAGGCTGGTAACAGTCAGTATTCTAAATTTAGTAAACAAGGGTCTGCAGTGCTCCCGAGGTGAGGCTTCTCCGATTGCCCTTACAGCCTTCTTCTGTAAATCCATTATCTTGGAGGTATGCGCCGAGTGTCCCCATGCCAATATTCCATATGAGAACACAGACTGAAACATGGCAAAGTAAGCCTCTCTGACGCATTCCTCATTTATAATGTGTCTCACTCTTCTGATGGCATATATTGATTTTGAGAGCTTAGTACATATTGAATCTATGTGCTTCGCCCAGGTTAGCAGGCTGTCCATGGTGAGACCCAAATATTTAACTTCCCCTCCATGCAGCTCCTTATGTCTCCTACTGGAAGTAAAGTTAATATGGACAGTTTTCCTATTGTTTAGTACAATTTAGTTGGCTGAAAACCAGTTTTCAACTTGCTTGTGGGCATATTGAATTTTTTCATTTATATTTCCGATGTTCTCGTCCGCAACCGCCAATGCCGTGTCGTCTGCAAATTGCGTTGTGTGGCAGCTAATGTTCGGTGGTAGATCATTCACAAATATGATGAAAAGAAGTGGTCCAAGAATACTCCCTTGGGCAACCCCTGCATTTAATATTGCTATCTCACTTCGTTTATTGTTCCATTCCACAAACTGATACCTGTTACATAGGTATGATTGCATCAGTTTAAGGGCTACGCTTCTAAATCCATAATATTCCAGTTTCCTGAGAAATATGTCATATATATATATATAATATATATATATATTATATTATATATATATATATAATATATATATGTATATATATATATATTATATATATGTATATAATATATATATATATATATATACTTAATATTCAGTAATTAATTAATTGAAATATAAAAACATATATTAATATGATAAATTACTGAATATTAAGTATATATATATATATATATATATATATATATACTTAGTATTCAGTAATTAATTAATTGAAATATAAAAACATATATTAATATGATAAATTACTGAATATTAAGTATATATATATATATATATATAATATATATATATATATATATATATATGTGAGTTCTTGAGGGCAATACATCAAACAAAGAAAAGCCAAAGATTTATAAAATAATCTTTATTTCCAAACGTTTCGACATTCAATTTAATGTCATCCATCAGTGGATCTAAAAACAGTATGAAAATTAGCATATCTAGGTAATTATAATATATGTGGATTGGTAAAGTAACTATACAATAAGAGAAAAATTAACAAACAGCAACACTTAACAACAAACCAAATATAAAAGATAGGAAAGGTAGTAGAGACTAGAATTAAATAAATAATTAAAAAGTATAGGCAAAAATATTTAAGTACACTCATATAAACCTACGCATATATACATATATATACATACACATATACACACATATACATATATATATAATATATACATATATATATATATATATATATATACATGCATATATCCATATACACACACATGCAAACATATAATACACATATACATATGTTACGGTAAATGTGAATATTTCGGCGAATGTGCACATTCACCGGTGAATGTGCACATTTACCGGCTCATTTGGCGAATGTGAGTTCAACGCGCGGGTGAAATACTAAATTATATATTTATATTTATATTCATATTCATATTCATATTTATATTTATATTTATATTTATATTTATATTTATATTTATATTTATATTCATATTCATATTTATATTTATATTTATATTTATATTTATGTTTATATTTATATAATATTTATATTATTTATTTTAGTCATATGCATATTAATATCCATTATTGATTATTAATTATTAACTATGAACTATTAACTGTTTAATTGATAGCTATTAACAATTTAACAATTAACTATTTCCTATTTAACTATTTTTAATTTACTATTTACTAATAAATATTCACTATTTACTATTAACTATTCAGTTATCACTATTTTACTATTCAACTATTCACTATTGACTATTGACTATTCACTATTGACTATTCACTATTGACTATTCACTATTGACTATTCACTATTGACTATTCACTATTGACTATTCACTATTGACTATTCACTATTTACTATTCACTATTTACTATTAACTATTCAGTTATCACTATTCACTATTCACTATTGACTATTCACTATTTACTATTAACTATTCAGTTATCACTATTCACTATTCACTATTCACTATTCACTATTTTACAATTCAACTATTTACTATTAACTATTCACTATTCACTATTTAACTATCCAAAATTCAACTATTCACTATTCATTATTTAACTATTCAAAATTCAACTATTCTTAATTCACTATTTACTAACAACTATTCACTATTTACTATTAACTATTCACTATTTAACTATTCAGTTATTACTATTTACTATTTACTATTAACTGTTCACTATTTACTACTCATCTATTTAACTATCAACTATTAAACTATTTAGTTATCACTATTCACTATTCATTATTTACTATTTACTATTCACCATTAACTATTTAACTATTTACTTTTTAACTATTAACTATTTACTTATAACTAATTAACTATTAGCTATTCACCATTTAACTATTCTAAATTCATTATTTACTAATAGCTATTCACTTATTACTATTCACTATTCAACTACTAACTATTTAACTATTCAGTTATCACTATTCACAATTTACTATTTAACTAACAATTAACTATTAACTATTTTCTATTTAGTATTATTTATTCACTATACTCTATATTACCACTTTACTATTCAACTATTCAACTATTCACTATTAACTATTAACCGAATAACTATTTAGTGCGCATGCGCCAAATACGCGAGATGTTCATGAGACCAATCCAAGTACGCACGTACACCATTATTTTAAATTGATTGTTTGAGAACTCCACATTCACCGATCGTTTTGGGGAATGTGCACATTTACCGGTGAATGTGCACATTCACCAAGAGTGCACATTTACCGTAACACATATACAGATACAACAATATTTTTAATAATTCTAGTCTCTACTACCTTTCCTATCTTTTATATTTGGTTTGTTGTTAAGTGTTGCTGTTTGTTAATTTTTCTCTTATTGTATAGTTACTTTACCAATCCACATATATTATAATTACCTAGATATGCTAATTTTCATACTGTTTTTAGATCCACTGATGATGACATTAAATTGAATGTCGAAACGTTTGGAAATAAAGATTATTTTATAAATCTTTGGCTTTTCTTTGTTTGATGTATCGCCCTCAAGAACTCACTCATATATTTCAACATCAAAATTAACTACTAATATACAATATTCAGTAATTTATCATATTAATATATGTTTTTATATTTCATTCTGCTAAATTTCAATCATTTATATTATATCAATGTTTATTTTTATTCCTAGGGTGCTCCCATAACTGCAGAATCACTATCTGCAGACACAAAACTGGTTTTGGAAGAAATCACAAGAATGCTGAATTTAGAAAAGGTTCTGCCTTGTTATAAAAACACAGTATCCGTGTCTTGCTTGAAAGTTATCAGAAAATTACAAAAATGTGGGCATTTGCCAAGCAGGCCTACATTATTTAAGGCATATGCAGAATATGGACAGTATATAGGTAGTTCCAAATTGTCAATGATTGATTTATTATAAAACACATTTTTACATTTTGTCTTTCCTCAGATGTTCGATTGGCAGCTCTAGAATGCCTGGTGGATTTTGTTCGAGTTGATGGCAGGCGAGATGACTTGAACAAACTTTTAGATGTAGTAGAGACAGATAGAGACCCCGGGGTCAGACATGCTCTTGTTAGAATGCTAATTGATAAACCGCCTTTTGAAAAAGGACACAGGCATAGGTTGGATACGAAGGATTTGGTGGAGAGAATTTGGAATAATATCAAGTAAGATTAGATTTGTATATAATACATAACTCTGCAATGGTTAATGTTTATTTATATTTTTAGTGGCATGTTGTCGCATGATACAAGACTACGTTGTGATCTGGTAGATTTATATTTTGCATTGTATGGATCTAGAAGACCTCAATGTCTTCAAAGCAATGAAATGTCTAACTTGGTTAAACCTCAACGAGTATCAAATCCTAGGCCTAGAAGTCCACATTTTGGAGGAGAGGTAAAATAAAATAAGCATTATCTCTTAAAGCAAATTGCTGGAACTTCATATATAGTAATTTAAAAGTTTTAAAATCTTTAAAGTTTTAAAAGCTTTATGAAAACTAAACTTTCTAAGTTTAGAATAATTTGATTTTTTTATTATTTGTATTTTTTGAAAACCTATAGATATTGAAAGCACTGAACCCTACCTTTCCTAAAATCTAATCATTTGCTTCAGAAACCGCTAGCCTTGCTGCCTTCCTAAAAATTACATAATAATACTAATTTTCTCTATTTTTTAGTCAAAGCACCATTTCACCACCTCCATGGCTACTTCAACAATAACCAAACCCAGTTACAATCCGTCGCCCTTGATGTCATCTCATGACATGGACATATCAATGTCCAGTGGGCATCTGAAGAGACCTCATCCAGAATCACAAGATGTTCCTGGTCTGCATAACATTAAAAGTGAAGGAGATGAAATCGATATAAAGCCTGTTAAGAGGGAATGTTTGGACATGGATGACCAACTTGGAAGACAGATTGTTGATTATTCTGATATGCACGAGGTTAAAGTTAAGGTACAATAGATTCTGATAATAACCTTTATACATTTATTTGATCATGTTTTTTTATATATATTTTTTGTTTATTAGAGTGAATTAGAAAGTGATAAAAATATTGAATTCATGAGGCAAAATGTAGCGCTGCCTATTGATCGAAAACCATTTGACTTGAGCAGTTCATTTGTGAAGCAGGAATCTCAATCTGGTGCTGATGCAAGCATTTCAAAGGTGAGTCACATGTTTATATAAACAGAACATTTAATATTATTGTAAATGCTGTTTTGTGATTAAATTTCACATCTATTAAGAGAAATTCCAAAGAGTTCATAAAATTCATAGGATCTTAACATTTTCAAACAACTAACATAATTTTCAAACAATTTCAATAATTTTAGACAATTTGCAAACTTTTTATGCATTTCACAACATTTGAATATATTCTACAACATTTTTAAACAATTTACATTTTCAGTAAATTTGCAACATTTTTAGGCAACTTGTTTGTGTATATTATAACATTTTGATAGTATTTACAACATTTGAACAGTATCTACAACATTTTCAAACAAATTACAACATTTCAGGCAATCTGCAATATTTTTAGACATACTACAACAATATGCAACATATTTAAACAAATTATGCCATTTTGAGACAATTTATAATATTATTAGACCATCTACGACATTTTGAAACCATCTTCTCATTTGCTAATATTTTTATTACCACTGTAGATGAAAAAGAAGAAAAAGGATAAAAAGAAACACAAACATAAACATAAACACAAGCACAGCAAAAAGGACTCTTCGGGACAATCTATTAAAAAGCACCATAGTCATGATGGCAGCGGACAGCATACAAGACACATCTATCAAGTGTTCTCGAACAGGATAATCAGGAGACTCTAAGCAGTGTTAGCTCAACGCCAAGCCCTGGTTCAAATTCACAAGACGTTCTTTGAGATATTTGTGATGAGGTAATTTATATAATTTGAATTATTCGTATATATTAGGGTGGTCCTTAAAATGGTCATTTTCGAATTTCCTTGCTCCCAGGGGCTCAAATGGTTCCAAATAGATAAAAAACAATTCTCTGAAAGTTTTAGCTCTTAATATTAACGTTTAGATAGAGCGCAATTCATTCAAAGTTTGTATGAAAAGAGCATGGAAAAAAATTCGAAAATTAAAAAAAAAATGTTTTAGGTGTAACTTAGCGACAAATGAATGAGTTTTATTCATTCATTTGTTTGCTAAATTACATCTAAAAAACATTTTTAAAATTTTTGAAACTTTTTCCATGCTATTTCCATACAAAACTTTGATTGAATTGCGCTCTATCTAAACGTTAAGATTAAGAGCTAAAACTTTCAGAGAATTATTTTTTATCTATTTGGAACCATTTGAGCCCCTGGGAGCAAGGAAATTCGAAAATGACCATTTTAAGGACCACCCTAGTATATATATATATATATATATATATATATATATATATATATAATGCGTGTGCATGTGTATGGATGTGTGGGTGTAAACATTAAGAAAAATATATCAACAATAGGCTTTTTCGATCATTCGTATATATATACATATATAGAAAAATATTAATAGACAACTGACAACATCTTCAGACAACTGACAACATTTTCACAAAATTCAAAACATGTTAATATAATTTACAACATTTTCAGGCAAGTGTTGACATTTTCATACAATTTGCAACAATTTCAGATAATTCTCGATATTTTCATAAAATTTAAAACATTTTTAGACAATCTACATCATTCTCAAACAAATTACAACATATCCATACAACTGTCGACATTTTCATACAATTTACAACAGTTTCAGACAATTAGAGCATCTTCAGACAAACAGCAATGCTTTCAAGCACCTGAAACATTTTCATATCTTCTACAACATTTTAACACAATCTGCAACACTTTCAGACAACCTAGAACATTTTGAGACAATAAAAAATACTTTCATGCATTTTACAACATTTTCATAACATCTGCAATATTTTTATACAAATAACAATCTTTCTATTCCCCATTGTGAGATAATGCAACCTTGCTGGAAGTAAAACGCCATTGGTTTTGTATTAATATAATTTATTTATAATTTTATAAAATGAGAATATTTCCATTTAATTATTTTTTATAAAACAAGTAATATCATAAATAACAATTTTATTCGCTGGTAACAACATAACTGACATCTTTAATGCAAATACAGCCCTGCAAACCGGGCAAGTGCATTTCTGCAGTAGCCACGTACTGCTTTGCTGGGGGTCCTGTCGATGAGCAAACCATCGAGCCATGCACTCATCGCACCACATGGGGCCACATCGACAGGACACACAAGCATTTGGTGTCTCATTGTTAACATTTCTGCCGTTGGGGCGATTTCTAATTCCATCTTGAGCATTGTTGGCTTCAATTTCCTCATTCGATGATGATAAGTGACACTGTTTTTGGAGTTTCACATTTGATGGTTGTTGCATGCATCCCATGCAGGAATCAGGAGCCTGGGGGAGGGAACAATAGTTGTAACTAGGTGTAAGTGGCATATAAGCTTTAAGGCAAGTTGCATGAACTTCCGGACATGTGCAAATAACCTATTTAATCAATAAGTAATCGATATATTAATTTAATAGTAATTTATAAGTACACATTGTTGTTGTAGGACATTACAATGTGTTAAACAGTTGCTCTTGCAGCGCAAAATGCAGATTATTGAATTTTGCACAATATTTCCAACTTTTAGTTATTTATTTAGTTTAGTTTACGTTTAGTTATTTAACAAAAATTATCACAATTAATATATTGATCTATATAACGTCAACAGTTAACAAGAACTTCTGCTTCAAATTTATTGTATTATTTAATTAAAAATAAATAAATCTTTCACACACTTTTTTGACATTTGTATATATAGTGAAGAGACGTTAGTAATGAATTTACTAATTAATGATTAAATGTAACCAATTTTTAATAACTTCTTGAGTAGATTAGAGTTTTATTTGGAATACTTAACGATGAGAATTGGAACATTTTAGCTCTTCTGAAAGTGTGTGAAATCAAAGAATTCATTTAGATACAAAAATGTATTCATTCTATTACAATATTTTAGTTGTTACTTTTTCAATAGCTCAGGACTAACTAACTTTATATTTTTACATTTTTAAAAATATTTCCAATATTTCTAGTTTTATGAAAACTCGCCGAGGGTACATGAGCTATCATAAAGTTTTATTAAGGGTTGTCTTGCAGATGTACAAGATTTGCAACATTTACCATTATTTGGGATCATACATCGTAAAATGAATTTATTTATGACTATTATTTATAATTATAAAGAACACAATTCTCAACAATAGATAAATATAAGCATAAGTGTTTCCTTGTTAACTCAATAAATATAAATGTGAAGTAAAAATATGGTGTTTTGTGTCGATTTAAAACAAATTTGTTCGCTTCTGTTTCAGAGATTATAAATTTTGCCAGAAATAATTCATCAAATTTTTCATTTATTAACTCAATAAATATAACTGTAATAAAATTTTTGCTTCACATTTATATTTATTAACTTAACAACGAAACACTTGTATGATATATGTAAAATTTGATGAATTGTTTCTACCAAAGTCGTCAGCAGCAAATTTTATAATCTCTGAAACAAAGCGAAAGAATTTGTTGTAAACATCTGACATCACACAAAAACACTTCAGCGTCGCATTTATATTATAGAGTTAATAATGAAACACAAGAATTATAATTTGTATTCTTTCTATCAAAAATTTGCGCCACCAGCGATTGTGGATGTTGGTGCCTATGTAAAATAATATATATAATAATAATAAGTAATAAAAAGGGATTGTTCAAGTATTACGTAAGCAGATTTATTACAATTATTTACCCCCCCCCCCACCCCCTTTGTCAGCAAAAGTAAGCAAGCTCTTACCCCCTACCCCAATGCTTACGTAACATTTTGCAATTAATGTAAAAAAATAAAAATACTACCTATAACGTAATCATCATCCAGACTCCCCTGCCCCCCATGTCAACCCAAAATAAGCAAATCAACAACCCCCCCGCCCCCCTATAGTGCTTACGTAATACTTGAACGGCCCCAAATAAATAAAAATAATAATATATAATAATAATAAAATAATGCGGTCAGAAAATTATGCTTAAGATATTTATGTCAAAAACCAGAAAAGGCTACAATATTAATATTTGATTGAATTTATTACAGTATTTCAACATTTTATATCGAAAAATTAAGTTTTAAATATATCCTGATAAACCACGATAATTCGAATTGCCAGTTGTCTTTTTCTCATTTTATCAAAACGCAATAAAGCTTTTGTTTTCATAACATTCATAGGATTTGTGAGAATCATTTTATCGCGTAGTGCTAAATTAATATCATTAACCCAATATTTGATAAAATATGGAACAAAATGGTTTAAAAATATTAACTTTAAATTATGAATTGGGCAATCGAAATTAAAATTTTGAGTAAAAACAAGTTTATCCAAAAGCAATGTTTTCAAATTATTCTTCACACAAACTTTAGGCAAAAAATGTTCTGAAACTCTAACGCTTTTTAATAAAATATTCACAAAGCTTCTACAAGGAAAGGCAAGGGATCTTCCAGTCCGATCCCTAATCCTTATTAACCAATAATCTTATCCACTCCTTTCTGTTGCCAAAATATGAGTCTTGCACATCAAGCAAGATTTAACATTTTTCAACATTTTCCTGGAAATGAAGCCAGTCATGTATGTGATAACTTGAAGATGAAGTAAACTACTACTTTCTTCTTATAATGTAAATTCATCAGTATTCACATAAGACAAAGTTAGAATATCTTCATTCAAGCTAGACTCACACATAACATTGACTGAAGCATTACTCAATAATAATGTTTTAAATAAATCAATAGCTCCTTCAGTTTTGTCATGCTCACAATTGGCAGAATCAGAATGAAGAGAATGAAACTTATTGACAACAAGGCTTTTGTAGGATCGAATTAATGCACTGCAAGTAGGATTGCGATTATTAACACCATGACTTCTAATATTAGCAAAAAAAATTCTAGGGGGTTTTGGTCAAAATTGCGAGTTGACAAAAATTTTATCTCCTCATATCTGATCATAAATTTTATTTTCTGCCAAATATATTCAAAACCCTCTAGAGTTTTAATTTTCAATTTTGAATAGTTAGAGGAGTTTTAACTCTCTTACCTTTTTTATAGAAGCTTATGCTTTTCAGCCCAAGTTTTTTTCCAAAATGTTAAATGTTGCCCACAACTGGCAAAATAAGAATGAACAGAATGAAACTTATTGACAATAAAGCTTTTGTAGGATCCAATAAATACACTGCAAGTAGGATTGCGATTATTAACACCATGACTTCTAATACCACCAAAAAAACATCTAGGGGGTCTTGGTTAAAATTGCGAATTGACAAAAATTTTATCTCTGGAGATTTTATTTCTGCCAAATATATTCAAAACTTTCTAGAGTTTTAATCCAATTTCGAATAGTTGGAGGAGTTTTAACTCTCTTGCCTTTTTTATAGAAGCTTATGCTTTTTAAGACACCCCTAGTCTTTTTTCAAAATGTTAATGTTTAGACTTATATGTGAGAGCACGTGTAGAGGTTTATAATCCCTAGCAGAACTGGAAGCTGTCCCATTTACACTGTCAAAGTGGTTATCCACAATTTCAGTACCAGTAACTTCTTAAGTAAAATTATCATCTAGAATATGAATAAAAAAGTTTAATTATAAAATACATCTTACAATATTTTCATTTACTTACTGCAGCATCTTTCACTCTCATCTTCCTCATCTTTTCAGTTTACACATTATGTGCTCCCAACTTATAACACATATGGAAAT